ATTTATTTATTTATTTGTTTTTTTGTTTGTTTTTTTGTTTGTTTGTTTGTTCGTTTGTTCGTTCGTTCGTTCTTCATTCATTCATTATTTTATTTATTTATTTGTTTATCCCTATTTCAGACTATTTGCTGGCATAGTGCCAAGAACTATATGGATCAGCGTCGGTGGATGCATATTCTTTGGAATTTATGAAAAGTCAAAATCACTTTTACAGTAAATAGGGTTTGGCTCATTTGTCTTAGTTTAACTACAGCCTTATTCATACTACCGGTAACTTAATTCTTTGTCAATGACCTCTATTTCAATTTTAATGGATCCAATTTTATCTAATTGTTATTACCATACTATAATTGTGCAATACAATAACTTAAAAACACTGCATATACATAAAAGGCGGCAGTCGTCGTGCCGCGTTCTGTTCGATATGGGACTCAGAGCGACGTATACATTGCGTGTAAAATACATTGTTTGTTTACATGAAATTCGAACACTAGCGACAACCACCGCACTTTAATATCTTTCCTCCCATAATGAAAAAGGTAATTTAGTTTTTACTTTGAATAGATTTTTTTAAAATGTGTTTGAAACGCCCAGTCTCGCCTTTATTCAATTGAAATCAATATGAATATATAATGGTTCAAATATTGTATGGAAGAATGCTAATTTTATATTTTGTAAGTTCAAATGTCTAGCTTTACATTGTTATATATTATTCCGTTATTGCATGAAGACCAGTTATTCATTATGTAATATTTTTTTTAAAACAATGTTATTCCTGAGCTTTCTAATTTGAACTATGACATTCTAAAAATTCCATTTGAACATGCTGTCTCTGATTCAACAACCAATTTATTAATAAACACTGATTGTAATGGTACAATAGTATGGCTCTAATATAGCTACAGATAATAAACTGTAAACTATTTTTAATAAGCAATAGATAAATAATTCAATGATTGTATCTATTGGCTACATCATAATGTAATGATCCTTATCACAAATTTAGCATACCTTTTCTATGAGCAAATTGTGACCAAAAACTTTCATTATCTTTATTTTATGTTTTTAGTTTGTTTTTGGTGTCTGGTATATTATTTTAGCTCAGGTATCGTCAAAGATAGAGCAGAGCTATTCATATTTGTGATTGTTCAGCCTAAATACTTTGATACACCTACCTTGGGTGTCCAGATTTGTTCATTTCATGAGGAAGTCATTATTGCTCTATTTTTATATTTATTTTTGTATTGTATTTTGGGGTAAAAATTGATATTTTAAATTTTTCCCTGAAAATTACTTATCTTATGGGTGTACATCACTTGACTTGGCTACCTCAATGTTGTAGGACAGCAGAGCTATTTGGATTGTCAAGTCACTTGTTTTGTATTTTCTCTGCCCATTCTCAATAGCAAATGTCTTCTATGTTTTACTGATTGTAAAGCTCATACATAGTTTTTAGCTCTGCTGTCATCGCAGATGACCCAGTTGAGCTGTTGGTATGTGGGTTACTCCGGCGTTGTCCCTCCTGCATCCCGCATGAAGTTTTCCTTCAAACGACTTCTTTTTCAAAAGTACTTGACCAATTACATTCATATTTGTATTTGTTAAATTCGTCTCAAAATATGCAAATTTAGATTTTTAGTGAATATTTTTGTCATTTTTGGTAAAAAATGTTATTTTCGACAACTAGTCCAAAACCGTAAGTCCAAATACTTTGATATTTGCAGCAATGGTACTTAGGGTGGTCCTCTGACCGATTTGTTAAATTTGTGTCACAATATGCAAATTTGGATTTTTAGTGAATATTTTGTCATTTTTGGTAAAAAATGTTATTTTCGACAACTACCGGGTAGTCTGAAACCAAAAGTCAAAATGCTTTCATATTTCCAGAAATGATACGTGGGGTGGTTCTCTGTCAGATTTGTTAAAATATGCAAATTTGGATTTTTAGTGAACCTTTTTCTCATATTCTTGTTCCATGATAATGAAGACAGTGGAGCTATTTCGACAGTCAGGTCGATTGTTTTCTTTGTCCATTGATTGTTTTTGTTTTTGTACCCAGACATACACTCTAGAGTATATTAAGTATACTTTTCTGGTTTATAGAATTGTAATCTACAAACAAACAAACAAACAAAATGTAAATAATACATCACAGTTATCACAAGAATTAAACACCTGTTATGGTATGTTATTTATTATAACATTAATAGGATTTAGAGAATGTTCTGACTAATTGTAGTGGCAGTCTTCTTGGGAGTTTTCTGGTGTTTTGTTCTTTATTTCGCTATGTACCATACTATCGAATATAATAAAGCTGTAAACCATTCTTGTATATTATTTTATTTTGTGAAGAAAATGAATTAATGCACTGTTGTGACCTAAAATATCAAATGTATTGAAACATATGCTAGTAGAAATGGGACTTTTCTTGATTGGCTAAATCGTAAATTATATCATTTATACATGACAACACATTGTAGATGTCTGGTCAATATATTTGTAGATGAAATTTTACTAATACCAGTACAAGAATGAAAGGGTAACGTCATGCAGCTAAACAACTAGCATAATTATAAAGCTTGTGTCCTTGCATTTAATTTTGAACTTGCAATATGTACATTATGTATATGTAAATTGTATAGCTTTATAGAGATTTCAACAAAATATGGTTGACATCAAGCAATAACATTATACATGGGACATAGTAAATTTACACACGCACAAACGCATAATGTGTACAGTTGTACATAAATTACACAAATTGTAATGGTCAGCCTAAGAGCATTCACAAAAATTTAATTTACTAAAAAATGATATATAGACATCAAGGTTAAAGCCAAGAAGTGTGAAAGAAAGTATACCTGTGCTATCAGTAGCATCCACCAATCTAAGTAGTCAATTCATGATGAGATATTTTACTTAGGTCAATTGGTGTTAAAACAATCAAAGATTATCAGCGTAAGTGACCTGTCATGATATATGCAATAGAAACACTAGAATGTTAAAATAGGATATTCTCTGAAAAGATCTTGACTTGCTTGGTGGAGGGAGTATATTGAATTGGGAAATGTATACGACCATATGCAGAAGAAAGGAGGTTATTGCTACACAAAATGGGGATAATTGTAAAATCAAAAGTTATCTCCCCTGTCGCACAGTAGGTGTTTAGATATGAGGCAGAATAACTTGATTCTGCAGTTTATTGGATTACAAGTTCAGACGGAGATATGGAAAGACAATTGTTAATGGAAAGTGCTTCAACATACATAAAGGAGAAGTTAAATGATTTGACATTTTGTCTTATGCGATGTCATCTTTTGTATAAAACAGATTCTCGTAAAACAGTATCGTTATGGGTAGGGGAATATCTCCCATTTGGCTAGTAGGGACCATATCTGTGCTTGTATCGCGTTTCCTTACACAATGTATCTTAGCAATGTTCTGTGAAGGAAGTCATTATCAGGAATGTTAATACACTGTGTTCCTGAGTTGGAATGACAATTTTTGGTTTCAAATACCACAGGAAAGTGTTCTATGTTTTTCGAGTAATCGGTTTTATGCCGCATTCAAAATGGCAGCCCCCATATAGTAAATATCGCATTTATTTTATTATCACGTATGCGCCAGCTGACTATGAGCTCATCCATGGGCAATTTATCATAAAGTAAACTTTCGTATTTTAATGGATTCAAAAGATGTTACTTTGGTATTTATTAATGTGCTGTTGAATACACTCGTTACAGTAATGTATTTAATATACTCTCTCTAGTTGGAAAACTGTCCAATCTTCACTTGTCACAAACATAACTGTACAATTTATATATTCCTGGCACTGATTGCCAGTGTTTTTCTTTATCCCAAAAAGCAAATTCAGAATATTGATGTATTTCACGTTAAAACAGTAACATGTTCATCAAATGTATCTGATTGATTTTTAATTGGTTGTATACTTCTGTGTTTATGAAAGTGTGAAGAACAATCTTGGCCCATATGTCCATAATAAGTATCA